TGACGAGAAAAGAGTCAAAAGGTCAATACCCAGGTGTCGTGATCTGTGAAATCAAAAGTGCCGAAGATAAAACACGTATTTTTAAGAAAAAGAATAAACTAAAAGACAACCGAAAATACTCTAATGTCTATATTGAGAACGACAAATCAGTAGAAACAAGGAACCTCCAAGCTAGTCTAAGGACAGTCCTGAAGGAAATAGGAAAAGAAAAAGATTACAAAATTGTCGGTAACCGCCTTATTAAGAAACTATAGGACGTTTTGCGGCTTGGAGTGTGGAACACGCGCGGATGGTCTATACGAGAAAATGATAATTCTAACTTTCGTAAACTTGTACTTGAATACTCGAATTGTGATGTTTTAGCACTAACGGAAACGTTTCTTCGAGAACATGAATCATTGGAGGTGCCCGGTTATAAGTTTTACGGAAATAATAGGAAACGAATCCACAAGAATGCGGTAAGAGGATCAGGCGGTGTTGGAGTTTTGATAAAAAGGGAAATAGTAGACTCCTACTTTTGTGAAATTATAAACTCAGATTTTGAAGGCATTCTTTGGATTAAATTAAACGCGACTGATACAGATTTCTGCGTATATGTTGCCGTTTGTTATTTGCCGCCAGCAGGCTCAAGTCGAGTAATTGAACCAGATCTATTTTTTCAAAACCTGTTGGAGGGAGTATATAGTTATCAAAATAAGGGAAATATTGTGATTTGCGGAGATTTTAACTCGCGTGTTGGTAGAAACTTGGATTATATAGAAGGTGTAGATAACGTAAAACCGCGTAACGTAGTAGATTTTAGCGAAAATCACTCTGGAGATGTTTTTATTAACTTTCTTTGCGATACCAATATATCAATGTTGAATGGACGATTTGATGACCGTGAATTTACATATATATCTCCTACGGGGAAATCGGTTGTAGACTATATGTGTGTACCATATGAAGATATAGACAATATTTTAGATTTTAAAATTATTCCGATGTCAAAGATAATAAGCGACTGTAACTATGTACCAGACAGGATTCCGGATCACTCGTTGTTGTGTTGCGATATAAGACAACCGAAATGTGAACAAAACATATATTCCGCTCATGATAGTACCGATAAACGAAAAAGATACAAACTAAATTCAATGCCTGATGATTTTTTAAGTAACAATGAAATTCTCGATGCAGTAAATTCAACAATACTACAAATAGAAAACTCGATTCGTATTTCGGGGAATATACAACATGCGTATGATGCATTCACGACACTGATTCATAGGGAGATGGAAAATAAAATTCCCGTGTCAAACGGATATAGTAAAAGAAAGAAATCATTGTACAAGCCGTACTGGAATGACACTTTGAACTGTCAATGGGAAAAAGTTTGTGCAGCGGAGAAAAGCTGGCTGAAAAGTAGTATTTCTAATTCAAGGAAGCGCACATTGAAAGAACAATTCTGTACAGAACGTAAAACGTTTGACCGTTTAAACAGAAAGTATAAACGTAAACATCAATCACACGAAAGACAGAAAATGGAAGATAAACTCTATGCATCAAATCAGAGGGACTTTTGGCGATCTATCGGTAAAATTGGCATTCAAACGAAAGAACTAAGTGTATACCATCAGCGGTTGTAAACAAAGATGGAACTATTGACACAAATAAAAATAATGTATTAAACCGTTGGAGAGATGATTTCAAAAACTTATTTACAGAGGATACTAACTTCGCAATTCCCGATGAACAGGAAAATGTGCATGAACAACGTGATATTTCTGCGTTAAACGAATCAATAACTCGAGAGGAAGTAACCCTTGCGATCATAAGTGCAAAAAAATAGAAAGGCCACGGGAATAGACGATATTCCGGCCGAGGTTCTGAAAAACGACTCAGCAGCAGAATTGCTGTATATTATTATCAGTGGATGTTTTGATCTAGGAATAGTACCATCGGAGAGGAATAGAAGCATCATTAACCCTATATTAAAACCAAATTCAGATGATGACAGGAATCCATTGAACTATAGAGGAATAACGTTGATATCGGTTCCGTGTAAAATTTATTGCATCATACTGAATGCACGTCTCACAAAATGGTTAGAAGATAACAACTACTTATGTGAAGAGCAAAACGGTTTTCGGAAAGGTCGAAGTTGCGAAGAACACATTCATTCACTCTACCAGACTTTAAACGACAGGAAAATTTCTCGGAAATCAACTTTTGCATGCTTCATTGATATGAAAAAAGCATTCGACACTGTCAATCGAACATTATTATGGTATAAGTTGCGAAAAATTGGAATACGTGGAAAGTTTCTTAGTGCTGTACAATCCCTCTATGATAACGTCGAATGTACCGTTCGTGTGAATGACGATCTGACTCCATGGTTTGATGTGACGAGTGGCGTAAAGCAGGGATGTATTTTGTCACCATCTTTATTTTCGATATACATTAACGACCTCGCGGAGCGTATTAACGCCTTAAATTGTGGAGTACCAATAGACGATTGCCAGATGAGTATATTGCTGTACGCAGATGACATCGTATTACTTGCGCCGAATGAACCATGTTTACAGAACATGCTTGATATTGTAACGGAATGGTGTGAAGCCTGGAAATTGTCGATAAACGATAATAAGACGAAGATAGTTCACTTCCGACCACTATCGATAGATATTTCGCAAAGTACGTTTACATGTGGTGGACATACTTTGCTTTTTACCGATTCATACAAATACCTTGGTGTATGGTTGGATGAACACTTAACATTCCAGAAAAATGCCAAAGAACTATCTAAAGCCGCCAGCCGTGCTCTTGGTGCATTATGTGGAAAAGTAATAACAGCTGGAGGTATGACCCATTCCGTATTTACTAAGTTATACAACACAATGGTAGAACCAGTTCTTCTATACGGAAGTGGTGTTTGGGGATATAAGGACTATAGTTGCATCTCATCCGTTCAAACTCGAGCATGTAAATTCTTTCTGAATGTTGGAAAACACACTTCAAACCTATCTACAAGAGGTGACATGGGTTGGACATCATGCAAAATTAAACTGCAGAAATCGTGTCTTCGGCTATTGTCCAAACTTCACAGACTTGAAAACAATCGACTCCCAAGTAAAATTTGGCGTTGGGCGGCGCGACGACGAAAAGGTTGGACTTTCGAAGTAAACAAACTTGTGACTAAACTTGATGTATGTGGACTTATAAATGACACATCTTTATCCACAAAATACGTTATGAAAATAATTAATGAAAAGCTAGAACGATTGGACAATCATCAATGGTGTGAAGACATTTTCAACGACCGTGGTACATTAAACGGAAACAAACTCCGTACATACAGACTATACAAACAAACTGTAAACGTTGAGTCATATGTAAAAATGAACATTCCACTTAACCAAAGGAGATATATGGCTATGTTTCGAGCCGGCTCGTTACCTCTGGCCTTGGAGACAGGTCGCTACTCCAGGCCGCAAGTTCCAATTGAAGATAGACTTTGTATATATTGCGATCTCGGACATGTAGAGACTGAAAAACATTTTCTGATGGAGTGCCCTTTATATGCAGACATAAGATATGATTTATTTTGTGAATGTAATTATTTAATTGAGAATTTTGATACAATGCATATGGACGATAAGTTTATATTTATAATGAGATCCGAGCAAATTCAGAAATGTCTATGTAAAATTTTACAGAAATGTTTTATGAGAAGGAAATTATTTACATTTGATTGAAGATATATACAATGTTTTATTTTGATAGCCTGGTTTTTGTCTAAGTTTTAAACATTAAGCATATTTGTTTTTCTCAAATCTTTAAAATAAGGCAATTTTAGTCATTGAGATTTATATTTTTATTATATTTATTTCTATTTTAGAAAACAACTGATAACTTTTTTTAATAAGAACTCTAATAGTGTATTTTATATAATTAATAATAACATTTTATATTTGATTGTATTTGGAAAGCGATTTAAAAAAAAAAAAAAAAAATTATTAGATTTTTAATTCTAGAAATATTTTACAAATTAACATGCAGTTTATTGTATATATGTACATGTATGTTTTTAAAGTGTCTCATAAGTCAAATGCTTGGCTGGGCATTGATTGAATTTTAAAGATATTACTTAAATTCATTTGTATATATGTACTGTATCAATCAATGTGTGACACTCAAATAAAATATATTTATCTTTTATGGTAATCAATATGTAAATTAGATAAACAAGACATTACTATTGATAATACTACGGTACAGAAATTGTTATGGCAATCGATGTGTAAATTAGATAAACAAGTGCCCATTAAGAGCTGGGACTATTATACAATGTACTAATATAGTTTAATAGTCCCAGTTAAGGGTGATCATCTTTTTAAAACTCTATATACCGAGCCCAGTCAGCGTATGCCACGTGTTATAAATTTAAGAATGATGAACTACTGAGGACTGAAAATTAAATACGATTTTTTTTTCTCCAAAAAAGGATAATATACATATGGTTATCTGAATATGGTCTTGTTCAAAATACAATGTTATGCTGCATAATGTGAATTTTTACTGTAGAACTGAGACTATACTATGGTTATAGTTCAGACGGTAGACTAATTCAAAGGTCTTAAACCACAGACAGACCAGAGCCATACGCATATTAGTAAAAAAGCATAACATCTATATAAACTTTATTTGGAAGGCTTAAAGTTAGTGGTTTTTTTTTAAACTGAAACGTTTTTTTAACAAACTGAACAAGGAAAATAATTATTGAAAATTGGCTAAAACTTTCAAAATCCAATAATTTCGCATTATGTTGTTTTTTTTTTTCTAATTTATTTATCTGCATTATTGCCAATTCCTGTAAATAAAAAATAGGAGGCACATATATCGATGCCTAAGTTTTATCAAATATTCTCTGTAAATATCCTGTCCGTGACAGCGTACTATATGATCCAAGATCAAAGGTTTTTGTTAAGATCTCTTCAATTAGCTCCCTTGAATGTCCCTTTGGTATCCGTCGCCTCTTTTTATGAAAGATGGAAAAAATCAGTAACTTTTGCTGGAATCTCCCAGAAATTATTTTAGCTCGCTTCCCATTTATTAGTGCATTTACATTACTAATGATATTAGCTGAAAGAGACGAAAAGTTAGTATAAATTTATCTTGCTGTCAAAAGTTTATAATAATTTTCTCGAACTTCCAGAAGTAAAAAATAAGCTAGTGATTTAGTACCATAACCATTTTGTTCCATTGTCATTTCAGACCATACATCATATCATACCAAAGATTTGTATTTTTTTAACCTAGAAGAAATTCCATACAGTGCCATACATAGCTATGATGGTTTTATACTATATCATATCAGAGACATATCAACCAAATGTTATGAAACTTGTACACAATGCTAATTACCACAAAACACAGATCAAGTTTGAATTTTGGTGGTGTCACTTTTACCGTTCTAGAGTTATGCCACTTTACTAATGGAAAAATATCCGTTCTCTAACTTTAGTTTGCTTCAACCAAATGTTATGAAACTTACACAATATGCTTATTACCACAAAACACAGATCAAGATTGAATTTCAGTGGCGTCACTTTAACCGTTCTAGAGTTATGCCCCTTTACAAATGGTAAAATTGATGAATTTTTTGTTTCTGTTCTATTACTTAAGTTTGCCTCAACCAAATGTTATGAAACTTATACACAATACCTATTACGGCAAAACTCAGATCAAGTACAAATTTGGGTAGTGTCACTTTTATCATTTTTCAGTTATGTCCCTTAATAACTGTATATGATATGCAAGCAGGGACACATTCCCCATTTATTATGCCCCAGCCGTAGCAGAGGGGGCATTAAGTTTTACCCTTGTCCGTACGTCCCAAAATTGGTTTCCGTTCTCTAACTTGAGTTTGCCTCAACAAAATGTTATGAAACTTATACACAATGCTAATTACCACAAAACACAGATCAAGTTTGAATTTTGGTGGTGTCACTTTAACCGTTCTAGAGTTATGCCCCTTTATAAAGGGAAAAATTACAAAATTTTTAGTTTCCGTTTTCTAACTTAAGTTTGCCACAACCAAATGATATGAAACTTATACACAATGCTCATTACCACAAAACACAGATCATCTTTGAATTTTGGTGTCGTCACTTTAACCGTTCTAGATTTATGCCCCTTTATAAATGGAAAAATTGCAAAATTTTTAGTTTCCGTTCTCTAAATTTTGCATCAACCAAATGTTATGAAACTTATACACAATGCTTATTACCACAAAATACAGATCAAGTTTGAATTTTGGTAGTGTCACTCTAACTGTTCTAGAGTTATGCCCCTTCATAAATGAAAAAATTGCAAAATTTTTAGTTTCCATTCTCTAACTTCAGTTTGCCTCAACCAAATTTTATGAAACATATACACAATGCTTATTACCACAAAATAAAGATCAAGATTGAATTTTGGTGGGGTCACTTTAACCATTCTCGAGTTATGCCCTTTATAAATGGAAAAAAATGCCAAAGTTTTAGTTTCCGTTCTCTAACTTAAGTTGCCTCAACCAAATGTTATGAAACTTACAATGTATACACAATGCTTTTTACCACAAAACACAGATCGAGTACAAATTTGGGTAGCGTCACTTTTATCGTTCTTGTTCAGTTCTTGAGTAATTTCCCTTTATAACGTTATATGCAAACGGGGGCATCATCTGTGTCCCATGGACACATTCCCCATTTATTTGCATATATATCCTTCTCTATTTTTAAGGGGTGTGCACTTATTCTGATCTTGCATAGTGCTTTTCTATCTTTAAAATTTTTTAATTCCAGATATTTTTCTGTACCAAAATATGTTTAATTGAAAAATAAATCAAGAGTTTACCTTTATCTGATTTAACAGTATTTTCTCTAAAATCTCTCCAATAATTCAGAAAACTTTTACATAATTTATTTTAACTATAGTACATAATCGGCCAACACTTACATCAATAAGATGTTGAAATTAGCAAGATTAAAAAGGGAAAATTCTTTAATTAGCTGGCCTCCAAAACATTGCTGCCTCAAAAAACATCATGCCAAATATCTTTCTTTTCAGACATTCAACAGATTTTGTTATTTGCGGGACTAGGTGGGCGAGGGGTTTTATTAGTTTGAGGTGTAATATCATCATTGATTTTCCCCTATTAGTCTTTGTTAAATTTGCACTTTTCAAAAAATTGTTCAGAATTTATCTTTGTTTCAAATAAAGAAATACTTGGCATGAGTAAAGTTTTATCCTGTCCAATACTATAGAAAAAATTTCACATAACATTTCATTGCACAATTATAAGAAAATAACCCTCACTGGAAGTTAACCAATCAAATTTTCCCCTTTTAATAACCTGTGTACAAGCTTTAGTAACCATGTAACCTCAAGTTCCAAAATATTCTATAGAAACCCCAAATAGAAAAATAATGGTGCTTTTAAATACCCAAGATATATGTTTATGACCCAGAAATGTTTTACTGCAATGAAATGTAGGATTAATTACCTACAACTGTCAAATTCAAGGGAATATTTTTTTCAACCTAATTTTGTATGCAACCGGATGTGACGTACTATGATTTGGTGGTATTACACCTTGACTACTGTATCTTTAGCCTGTTAATTGACAAGAATTGTCAGTTTTTTCTGTTCAGGGTCTGTGGTTCTCTCAAGGTACTCCGGCTTCTTCCTCCAATAGAAATGGACTGCCATGAAATAGCTAAAAGTGGTGTTAAATACCAGTCAATCAATTTGTCATTTTGGTATTCATTAATTTGAAGTTCTCCCAAATTAAATCAATTATAAATTAAATATACATTGTATCATCATGATCATTTATTATTTGAAAAGCCTTCCAATATATAATAGCAAGTATTATGCAGAAATACATTGATGCTTGTTAACATTGAAATATTTTGCATATTAGATAACTAAAGAATGATCACAATAACTTAAATGTATCTCAAAGTGATAAATGGATTATCATGCAGATATAAAAATGAAACCTCTTTACGCTATATATATGTCAGTGGAAACAAAAACCAGTCGCTATTTTCTGGAAAAAAAACAAATAAAACACATAAAAATCAAAAATTGTTTGTTATAATATAGAGACAGTAGCTTTTTTTCCACAGAAAGATAATAGTTTGTAATGCTTTTCAGATATCCTCCAATACCACCAAGATTGATATACAGCCACATAGCTATCTTCCTAGCAGTTGGATTTCTGATGTCAGCAAAAGTCAAAAGAAAAGAATTGTCATTGGTTTATGCTGGTCAGCTGTTATATTTTGCTTACAATACATATACAAATCAAAATCTACGATATACCGAACCGCAAAGGGTAAGGCTGTTATCTCTTGCCTACAATACAGTACATTTTCATTAAGTACACACATGTACAAGTGATACATTTTAAAATCTCACTTGCTGGTGTTGATCGAATCTCTGTGAAACAGGATTGATTGATTGATTGTTGGTGTTTTAACCCCACTTTTAAGCGCCACATTTGGGCTATTTGGTTGCGGCCAGTTTTTATTGGTGGAGGAAGCCGGAGTGCTTGGAGAAAACCACGACTCTTCGATAGGAAAACTGACAATCCTAGTCAATTAAGATTGGAGTTGAATGCACCTGCATGAGCGGGGTTCGAACTCACAACCTCAGTGTTGAATGGCTAGTGATTACAGTAGTAACTTTTTAGACCACTCGGCCACTGAGGACCCTGTGTGAAACAGGATGATTGCTGGTGATTAGGAGTAGTAACACTGCTCTGATTTACAATCTTGTTTATCATACCATATCTTTTGAATATATACTGAAAAAGACATGTTAGAGTGGTTCACACACAATTGCTGGCATTAACTCAGAAAAAGCCAACCACTGTTTCTAGCATGACTCAGAAAAATCACCACAAAGAGTAATTTACCCACAGTCACTTGCATTGACACTAAAAAATCACCACTGAAAGTGATTCACTCACAGTCACCAGCTTTTACACAGAAAAAAAATCACCATCAAAATGGATTCACTCAAAGTCATAAGCAGAAACATGTACATAGAAAAATCACCACAAAAAGAGATTCACTTAGTCACCATCATTTACACTGAAAAATAACCACCAAAAGTGATTCACTAAGTCACCAGCATATACATGTACATAGAAAATCGCCACCAAAAGTGATTCACTCTCAGTCCCCAGCATATACATAGAAAAATCGCCACCAAAAGAAATTCACTCTCAATCACTAGCAAATAAGTAGAAAAATTACTACCAAAAGTGATTCACTCAGTCACAAGCATTGACTCAGAAAAATGACCACCAAGATTGATTCACTCACAATCACCAGCATTGACTCAGAAAAGTCTCTGCCAAGAGTGATTCACTCCTCACAGTCATTAGCATTGACTCAAAAAAATCACAACATGAGTGATATTTATAACTAAATCACCTTGTGTATAGTAATAATACTGTATACTTATCTTTCAATTTTGCTCTAACTTAAAGTTTATACGAGAGACTAAAAGTTATATTTCAATTTATTGGTCACTACATTATATGTTGTTTTTTTTCAGATAAGGATGTCAGTAAGATTGATTGGTTGTGCTGGTATATTTGTATTATTCTCCTATTTCCAAGAGCAAGTCAAATCCAGACAACTTAGAAAACTTGGAGAAACATTAGTTGGAATATTTCTACTTGCTTATGTATATATAATCAATAACACTTATGAAGATAAGCGAGCATTCCTAATGCACATCCCAGGTGGGGATTGGATTAGATATTTCATTACTTTAGTTTTAGCTTGTGGTGCTATAAGCTTCTTCTCAGGATTTTTTTTACGTGACGTGTCTATATCATTAGCAATAGTCTTCGCAATACTGACAGTAGCTGTAGACTGTGACATTCAGTATTGGGTGAATAAAAGAGGGATGTTTTATTGGAACCAAGTTAGGGTTATTGCTGATGATTTGTGTATAATAATTGGATTTTGTTTGATAATGACAAGAGGGGATAACAAAATAAAAGTGGATTAAATTATTTATTTTGTATGTTTGTAATAGTTTTATTTTAGGCCTCAGCAATATTAAAAAAGTAGATTTTCACATACTTTACTTATTTGATTATTTTTTACGTTACTTATTTGATTATTTTCTTTAAGATATCTTACTGCTATTTAAAGGAAAAATGCTAAGTAATTCAATACCAATATTTTCTGTAGTTTTATTAGTACCAATGTTTTGCTATAGGTTTCGTTATATATAATAAGTACCAATATTTTCCATAAATTTATGCTTATTTTGTTATCAAGGATTATAATTATGCCACATTTAACATATATACATTTTGTACCTAAAGCATTGATCATTTCCATAACACAGATTCTACTTGAAGCTAGGGTTGACCTCAGGTGCTGGGAAAGGGTCAGCAATGTTAAATTATTATGACGGGTAAATGTTTAACAAAATCTAATATGAGATACACAACTAGGATAAAACAATTCAGTATCCAGTATTAATTTATTCATGTATGTATGTTTTGCTTACAATTCATATTACCTGATATAATGAACCAATTTCAGAACTGTCTTGTTATAACAATGATAATGAGTTTTTTGTTTATTGCACTTTTATTAACCTAATTGACTGAAATTTTGTAATCTCAGAATTCATGTTTAAATTTACATTATATAGACAATAATAGTGTACTGACTTGACTATTGACTTGCCGAGCTATTTCCCCGTTTCGGGCCGAATCCTTATATCGTTGATATGTCAAGTCAATACAATATTATTGTCTTTATACTGCAATCTAGAAAAAAACATTTTAAATTGTTGTTTATTGTGTTATTGTTATTTATTTGATTTAGATATTGGGAAAAATCTCCCTTTAAAAAGGCCTCACAATTGGCGACGAAATATACAACATAATGAAATGTACATTACCTGTTGAAACCAATCAATGGTGAAAGAATTCGTTTGAGTATGGACTAAAATATCAACAATAAGCATAAAACATAATGATTTATAGATTTTAAACAAAAAATATTAACAAATGAAATATGTTTTTCCAACAATTTAAAAGAAATAAGTTTGAGTCGTTCCACGCTACAGGTTGAAGCGGTCCTCATGAATATTCAGACATAGTCCTGGCTCTACTATTTAAATATTCATGAGAAAAGAGTTATCGGGTCAGTGACTGTATATGACAAAGAAATATACAGTCAACGCATTTTGACTGCTCAAATAGAACGAGTGCAGTATAAATTGTAATAATACCTATCTTCTACTATTGAGAACATTTTGAGTTGATTACTTTCACATTCATGATCTAAGGTCCTAATTAAAATGCTTACATTTGTTTATTTGTTTATACTATCACATGACTGTGAAGGAAAGTTAATTATTTGTTTATGTTAATAAAAACCTTTTATACTTTATAGTTATTAACAGTGTTGTATTTAATATCAGTATTTTATGCTCAGTTTTCAGTTTTGAACAAAGTGATAGTGTGAGTTACTGCTATGAGGGGCCTGATGGGGGGGTCTCATTACGATTCACGAGTGGATTTTTTTGTCAATCACGATTCATAGAAAATAAATTTCCATGATCATGGATCACGAAAATATAAAAAAAAAATCTGTAAAAAAACAGATTACGATAGCGAATATGCGCCGATCATGAAGAACGAAAATAACCCATCAGGCCTCTCTGCTATCATCAGGCCAATTTAAACTGTACCAGAATAAACAAAGTATTAGTAAAAGGAGAAAAGTGGTTAACATCAATGAGATAGCAACCCAGGACTACAATAATTAAAGATATACATATATCAATCAACTCACAGATCTGCCCCTATTCATCTTACCCTCATTTAATTTAATGTTAACTTTTCCTGGTCCTGAACATGCATGAAATATTTGCAACTGGACATTAAGCAACCAACAATCAGTCAATTAATCTTGCCCTCATTTTCCAGTGGCAGTCCCAATTTCCTGATCTACTTCTATGAAAAACCAACCTATTGTATTGGTTGTTTATTTGTTATCATCCTGAATATGCATTTTGTACATATCAAATATTATTAAGTTTGTAGTTTAAACAGGAACTCGACAGAACCAAATTCCTTAATGGACCAAATACTTTAAACGAATAAGGGCAACTTGAATTACAAAGTTTTCTGACTTGAAAAATATATCAAGGGAAAAATTGTTAGCTCTGAAGATAGTGCACTTTTTGTCAGTGAAAGAGTTCAAGTGAAATCAATTTTATTAATAATATCAGATTACTGCAAACAAGAGATACTTATCAAAACAATTGTCTGTCTTGCCAATAATTATTCTAATAAAACAAAAGCAGTTAAAACACATTATTAGAATTTGACCAGTTTCAATTAAAGGGATCATAGTTTTAAGATTTTACCTTTTAGATTGACACAACAAGCCTACAAAATGTCGTCCAATATTGGCAACACAGTGAAAAATTTTAACATAAAAATTTATCAGTGAAACATTGTCTTCTCTGAAAAGGAAAATTAAAGTAAAACAAATATCAGAAACCAGTAAGGCATTTTTTACTGTCCTGTGGGTTCTTTTTTTTTTCATGCCTCTGTGTTTTGACTGTATATTTGTGTTGCCAATCATACCATCCAGGGGCTTCAATAGGGTACTCCTCTTAGGTCGCCAAGCCCCTTTTAAAAATGCCTTGGGTCACCAGGTCACTTCTGATTCCTTGTTCAGAGACATTAATTGTCAAAATGCCCATCTGTGCAATAGAATTAGTACGGTATATGTTATTTTAAGTTAAATTTGGACCTTGAGAGACCCTAATGGGTAGTCAAAGTCGTTCAACACCACCTAGTAGTAAACAACAAAAATGGTCAAGACAAGACATACAAATAGGTTATTAACAAAGCATTAAAGTAGAACTTATCATTGACTCTTGTAAACCATGCATCATATTTGGTACTGAAACATGGCTCTCAAATGACACCTCTCCATACGATTACATCCCAGCCTCCAAATACAACATCTATACAAAAAACAGAAATGATGGCTACGGGGGAGTGTTACTGGCTATCTCAAACCAGCTTACATCTACACAAATCACAAATACGGGCACTGACCTAGACCTCGATACAAATTGTGAAAATGTGTGGGCAAACATTTCATATGAAGGAAACAAATCACTCTACCTATGTACCTACTATCGACCACCATCCGATAAAGGAGAATCACTAGAACAACTTCGTATCTCACTAAATAGAGTCTTATGCAAGAAAACGAACCCAAATATATGGGTAGGTGGCGATTTCAATCTTGGCCACATAGACTGGAACACACCAGCAGTCATACCTTGTAAACCTGATGCTTCACTACACCAACTCATTGACATATTAAATGACCACAACTTAACACAGGTAGTAAACAAGAACACCAGAAACGACACAACACTAGATCTGCTGTGTATGACCAATCCATCATTTGTCAATCGAGTCGAAACATTACCACCAATTGGAGCGAGCGACCATGACATCGTTTACAGTGAAATAAACTTAGCACTGCCTCAAAATAAACAACAGGCTCACAAAATATTAAACTACAAAAAGGCAAATTGGGACCAAATAGAAAAAGACCTCACTGAAACATACAAACAGCTAAAAAAAAATCAAAATAAAATGAGCCCCGATGAACTATGGAATACTTTTAAGACAAACACCCAAAAGTCCATTGATAAGAATATTCCTAAAAAAAGCATTAGTTATAAATCAAAACTACCTTGGGTAAATAACCAACTAAAAAAGTTGATTAACAAGAAAAACAAACTTTACAAAAAGAAAAAAGGAAATCCCAAGTACAAAAAACAATACCAAGAAAGTAAAACCAAGCTCCAAAAAGAAATGAGAAACTCTTACTGGCAATATATAGAAAATATGATCTTTGATATTGAAATAAAGGAACCAGACCAACCGTGCTTCAAAAATACACTAAAAAAGCTATATTCTTATATTAAAAGCCAAAAAAATGAAAATACTGGCATAGCTCCTCTAAGAAATGAAGGTACATTGCACTCAAATTCATCTGAGAAAGCGAACATACTGAACAAACAATTTCAGTCAGCTTTTACATCTGAAGCAAATACTGACATTCCAGATAAAGGTCCTAGTATTCATCCCAAAATGACAACCATAACAATATCTAGGGATGGTGTTTATAAACTTATCAAAAACATAAACCCTAATAAAGCTACTGGTCCTGATACCATCGCAGGCAAAGTATTCAAACAAAACATTGAGATATGTACAGACATCCTCACATTAATATTCACCAGATCATTAGAAACAGGCAAAGTACCATCTGACTGGAACCACGCTAATGTCACACCTGTATTCAAAAAAGGGGATAAACATAACCCAGGTAACTACAGACCTATATCCTTAACATACATAGCTTGCAAATTACTTGAACACATCTTTGCAAGCAGCATGATGCAACATCTTGAAACCAATAACACACTGTATGAATTACAACATGGATTTAGGGCAAAGCGATCATGTGAGTCTCAAGTTATCTCACTCATTCATGAATTATCACAAAATAATGACAAGAACATACAAACAGATCTCATAATCATGGATTTTGCCAAAGCTTTTGACAAGGTACCACACAAAAGATTACTATATAAAATGAAATACTTTGGCATATCAGATCAAATCATAAACTGGGTCGAATCCTTTCTTCCAAACAGAACTCAAACAGCACTTTTAGAAAACACGTCATCTTCAAAAATACCAGTCACATCGGGTGTGCCACAGGGTACAGTGCTAGGACCTATACTTTTCCTTATTTACATAAATGACCTTCCAGAATACATCAAACATAGCAAAATCAGACTCTTCGCAGATGACAGTAAAATTTACAGACAAATTAAATCTCAAAACGACTGTCTCAAGCTTCAAGAACATCTAGAAGCCGCCATACAATGGGAGCAAGACTGGCTCATGTCTTTCCACCCAGACAAATGCAACATCATGAACATAACAACCAAAATAAATCCCATCCACTTCTACTACAACATGTATGGGCACATCTTAGAATCAGTAAAACATGCTAAATATTTAGGTATCACAATCTCTTCAGATCTAAAATGGAACACCCACATCCAACAAACAGCCGCTAAAGCAAATAAATCTTTATGTTTTATCAGAAGAAATCTCAAAGTCCAGTCACAAAAAATAAAAGAAAGAGCATACCAAACCATCATAAGACCCAAATTAGAATACTGCTGTACTGTATGGGACCCTATACAAGCGAAAACATTAGATCATTAGAAAAAGTACAGAGACGAGCGGCAAGGTATGCATGTAACAGACATCACAATACCAGCAGTGTGTATGAGATGCTTGACACCATGAAATGGCAAACATTACAAGAACGCCGACTAAGAACAAGGCTAATAATGTTCCACAAAATTATAAACGAAAATATAGCCATTCCATCGCAAAATTTATTACAAAAGAGTCAGTCCAACACAAGATCCACCAATAAAGATGCTTACCGACAAATCCAATGTAACAAAGACAGCTACAAATTTTCTTTCTTTTGTCAAACAATTAAAGACTGGAACAAATTATCCTCAGTCATAACAAAAAAACACCACTACAGAAACTTTCAAGGATGCACTCGCTCACGATGTGCTCCTTGATACCTATCCACACCTGAAGTAATCAGGCAATCATGTTTTTATCTTAAATTAAAAACAAAAATAAAAAATGAAATATTAGAAAAGCTACATAAAAACGAAAAATCTAAAAACAAAGAAAAATTGTAAAAATGAATAATAATATAACAAATATACAAAAATATGGAATACAAAAAATTTGACAATCTATGTTTAACTGCAATACATAAACTTGAAAATTTTTTACCAGGTATGCGCCGGAAAGTAAACATCAGTATGTTGATGGTTTTCTGAAACTGAAGAAGAAAGCCGTAATTGTAAGTCCACTTCTTATGGAAGTTATTGCCCTTGAAAGACTTACGCCCCTTTTTTAATTTTTTTTTTAGCAAAACCTATAGTAGGTGCAATGAAACTGAAATCAGAAAAATATTCTATTATTCAGTTTTGAAAAATGCACATAGATCTAGCTGAGCGACCAAGGCTCTTTGGATTGCTTGATTGATCGATGTTTGGTGTTTAACGCCACTTTCAACCCATTAGCTAGTTTTTAATGGTGGAGGAAGCCGGAGTGCCCGGGGAAAACCACCGACCTTCGGTAGGAAAACTGGTAAAACTAATCAATTAAGATTGGAGTCGAACGCACCTGCCACGTGTGGGGTTCGAACTCAGTGTTGCCGTGACAGGCTAATGATATAGTAGATGAATTGCATAGAACACTTGGCCACCGTTATTCCGACACTCCAATAGTCCGTATTCATTTAATATA